AACCCTTCTGACTTGAGGAGACTGTGGCACACTCCTTGGTACAAATTCCTGTATCACGAAACTGTGGGGAACAGAAACAGATTCTAACTACCTTTCACAAAAGAGGAATTCACTGAAAGGCATTGGGTAGCTCACAGGTCTGGAAAATTGTCAGGAACCAAGAGAGACTAGGCAGCAAGAAAGATTGGCCAGGATGTGGTCACAACCAGTTACAGCAGCCATCCTGTGGTTGGTCTCATCAACCCTCTGCCTTTGCTTCACTCACTCAGGAGTCAAATATCTGGGTAGAAGCATTTAATTAGTGACCATAGATCATATACCCTCCCTCTAGTGGGGGAGAGGGTAGTAGAGAGAGGGAACACTTCCCCTTAAGGCTTCTACCAAAATTCTGGAAAGGGGTTTGGTTTTGAGAAGCCAAAAAAATGACAAAGGATCAGTATTGTGGGATGGTGTTTCCCTTAAGGGGGTGTTACTCGGCATAATGTTGGGAGGCGGGTAGGGGAAGCCTGACCCTTGGTCATTATTCATCTCCATCGGCTCACTGAGATGTTGCCACCTGTATGTGGCCTTATGTCATGAGCCCATGCAGTCACCATGGAATCCGCATCCTCCTACCAACAAGAGCTCTATGCCACATCCACTCTCTGTGTGTTTGGGAAACATCCCTCTACCCACCATTGTGCTGTGCTATGGGAAAATCTGTGGGGACATGGCAGATCTGTTTTCCTACATGATACAGGTGGCTGTTTCTACACTGGTGTATTTCCCCCTTTCACAGATTCTCCTCAGAAAAGGGAAGAGGACTCTTGACTTCCTCAAACCTGTCTGGAATATCTTCTGTCCCCTCTCACCCAAGACTTGACCACAGGTGGGGTGTGATGCAGGGTACATTTCTCAACACCCTACTATATCCAAGCTCTCTATGTTTCTCCTGTGACTTTCTGACCTTCTCCATCCCAAGAGTCTCTTGTTGTTGTTGTTGTTGTTTTGTTCTAATGGCTGGATGGTCTGGCTTTACGTCTATATTCCTGAATCTATTACTTATGCCCTGGGTGTCCCTTCTTTTCTGCATTCTGTTTGGCCTTCCCTCTTCCAAGGCAGAAATCATAGAACATTCAAGCTGTTTGCCAAATCAGGGGAAGGTTTATAAAATAACAGGAAATACTGAGAGGCACAAAAAAAGAAAAAGAGGGGCGCCTGGATGGCTCAGTCATTAAACTTCTGCCTTCAGCTCAGGTCATGATCCAGGGTCCTGGGATCGAGCCCTGCATCAGACTCCCTGCTCCGCGGGAAGCCTGTTTCTCCCTTCTCCCACTCCCCCTGCTTGTGTTCCCTCTCTCACTGTGTCTCTCTCTGTCAAATAAATAAATAAATAAAATCTTTAAAAAAAAAAGAAAAAGAAAGTTAAAACATAATAAATAGTAAGTTAAAATAATAATATAAAATATTCTGCAACATTACTCTTTGGGCTTATCCATATTTTTAATTTTTTCATTAGTTAGACCAGATTACAGTATAATTTAAAAACAAAATTGTCTGCCTTATGAGATAGTGAGATCTCCATCAATGGAGGTATTCAAACAGAGGCAGGATGACCATCTGTTAGGGGTGTAGTAAAAGGAACTTCTCCACTGGTGGGAGGTAGGATGAAATGATGTCTAAGGTCAATTCTAAAGTTAATATTTTATGCTTTAATTTATTTTTTATTACATTTCTTATTTGCTCCACAAATTTTGGCATCTTAAGAGGACTATTTTGAGGTTCTTACTAATTATAAAAATTTTAAATGGTCTCCCTGGTTTCTAATAAATCAGTCAACATTTTTAATAGAGCTTGTTCTGAATGCCCAAGATTGGCTATTTCCAATTCTCTTGGTTCTATTGGCTTTGGTACAACTTTTTCTGTTACAATGGCTTTATTGTTCTTTTCAATTCTTCTGGCCTTTCCTCCATAAATCTTCTATGGAGTGGGTGTTTGCTTATTTTTCCTGGGTAAAGAGGAAAAAGTATTTCTCTGACCCAAGTGTGGGGAAAGCATCCTTGAAAACACTGAAGAAGCCCCAGACTTGAAGTGAAGGGACATGTACTGTCCTCTAGCTCTCTAGCAGTGGGAGCCTGAGAAGTCCTTCAGCCTATCTGAGCCTCAGTTTCTCATAAGCAAAGTTGAGAAAGATAATCTCTACCACATCAACTCAATCAAAATTAAGCAAAAATGACATATCCAGGTGTGATATGATCTAGATGTCACAATTTCGTGGCTTCATCTCTACATCTCTGCCATTTTCTCTCCCCGCCCTCCTCTAGGGGTCCATTTCCCTCCTCCCAGCCCCCTCCCCTGGCTGCTTCGTCCTATGGTAGCAAGAAATGACAGTGGTATTTTCAGGCCCCTCCTGCCCATGCTCTACGTTCCAGAGGAAGAAGGTTGGTCTCCACAGTAGTTATCATGGATGAAAGAGGAAACTTCTTTCCTGGAAGTTCCAACAGCTGTTTCTTCTCATCTCAGCAGCCAAATTGGGTCCCATGCCCATCCTGACAAATCCTTGTGGCCTAGAGTGGGCTGAGCCGAACAACCTAAGCCAATCCAAGTCCCCTATGAGATGAGGTAGATACCATCGCCTCTAGATTGGGGAGCTAAGCCTAGGAAGGAACTTCCCTCCAAATGAAGATTTGGATGCATTTTCTGGAAGAAAGAGATGGAAAAATGAGGTCTTGGGGAGCATCCGCCAAATGATTCCTATTCCTACACAACTCTCTAGGTTAATTTAAAAGTCATATGAGGGGCACCTGGGGGGCTCAGTCAGTTGAGCATCTGACTCTTGGTCTTGGCTCAGGTCACGATCTCAGGGTCGTGCCGTCGAGCCCCATGTCAGGCTCCACGCTCAGCATGGAGTCAGCTTGAGATTCTCTCTCTCCCTCTCCCTCTGCCCCCTCCCTGCTCTCTCTCTCTAAATAAATAAATAAGGTCTTTACAAATAAATAAAAGTCATATGAGATTGTGAACATGGCAATGCCTTATACCTGTAAAAATGTCACATTCCAACAAGCAAAGTGGCCTCAGGGGAATGATTTGATTTTTGACCTACTTACCACTTTGGACAATTTATACAACTTCTTTGAGACTTGGTTTCCCCGGGCGCCTGGGTGGCTCAGTTGGTTAAGCAACTGCCTTCAGCTCAGGTCATGATCCTGGAGTCCCTGGATCGAGTCCCGCATCGGGCTCCCTGCTCGGCAGGGAGTCTGCTTCTCCCTCTGACCCTCCTCCCTCTCATGCTCTCTGTCTCTCATTCTCTCTGTCTCAAATAAATAAATAAAATCTTTAAAGGGCGCCTGGGTGGCTCAGTCGGTTAAGCGACTGCCTTCGGCTCAGGTCATGATCCTGGAGTCCTGGGATCGAGTCCCACATCGGGCTCCCTGCTCAGCAGGGAGTCTGCTTCTCCCTCTGACCCTCCTCCCTCTCCTGCTCTCTGTCTCTCATTCTCTCTCTCTTAAATAAATAAATAAAATCTTTAAAAAAAAAAGAGAGAGACTTGGTTTCCCCATCTGTAGAATGAGGGTGCCACCTAATAATGAGACATGCTCACAAATATTCATATATTACAAATTGTTTCTAATTGAATCCATACTACAATTGAATCAGTTCAGGAAGATACACTTGGAGGTCCTGCTTACAACCTTGAGAAAACCAACCCTAGGCACATCAATAAGTTTCAAGTAACCATGGGACTGAGACTTCAGATGGAAGGAATGCTTTGTGAACCAAATTTTTAGTAACATATAGAAAATCATATTCATGTGTGCATAAGTCATCATGCCCTGAACCCTTAATCTCCATATCTCTGATGCAGAAAGATTAATCTTAGAAGGAATAACTGACAACCCATGGCTTCAGGCTGCAGAGAAGATGGAAATGTCCCTTACAAATGTGATTCATATTACAATACTTAACGCACATTGTGCGCTATCCAGTCTTGTTCGAATGAAAGAAACTTAGTCGACTCTTCTGTTGGAAGATACACATTTTTTCCTTTTTTCTTTTGTATCACTCTCAGAATTGTGAGAAGCTAAAAAGAAGCCTGTTTCTTGCTAACACAATCTTATCTATGAGCCAGGCATTGCTAGGGAGGCAGTATGGCTCACCGGAATTTTGTCAGATTATCCTGTTACCAAATTCTGACTCAACTGTTTTCTTAACCTCTGCAAGCCTCAGTGTTCTCACTGGAGAAGTTGGGGTGATAATAGCACCCAATTCCTTGTAAGAAATAAGTGAGATAATGCATGTTAAATGCATAATAGAGAGCCTAGCAGATTTAATACATGTTAGCCATTGCTGTTTTTGAATTTCTGAAAAAGAAGAAATGTGTTTATTATATTGGAAAAGTACCAGGGTAGGTTGATCTTAATCTGATTTTAGACCTTTTTCCCTCATGGCTGGTTTGTTCCAATATTCGAGGGTTCTGGAACAAGAGTCCACCTAGGGGCCCCTGGTTCATGGTTAGCCCCTTTCTTTTCCTACCCTCAACTCAGTCCTACACTGTGAGGAGTCTTATACACATGCTTGAACATCCCAACCCGAATATCCAAGCTCTGTCTATACTCCCACCCAAATGCAAAGAGAAGCTCTCGTCTACCCTCTCAAAATTAGGAGTATACATACCTGTGACAAAGTCTATCAGTGCCATTGGGAGATGGACAGGTGAATAGTCTATACAAGCCATGAAAACATATTGGGGCCTTTTGAGCAGGAATTCCAGGGTGCCTAGAACCAATAGCATGAGTTATAAGGGGTAGTGAGGGACTGGCGAGCAGGTCCCTTTAGCCCTATGGGCACTCAGTCTGTGGGGAGGCTGCAGCTATAGGAAGGCCAAAGAAAGAGACCTCTAATTCATGGGGCCCAAGGGAGGAGCCTGGGTCTGAGAGTGGTACCAAGCTCATCTCGGGGAAACTTATTCTCTAGAAATGAGTATGCCTTTTAAAAAAACAACAAAACAAAACAAAAAAAAACAGCTTTATTGAGATATAATTTACATATGTGCAATTCACCCATTTAAAGTGTACAATTCAATGGTTTTTAGTATATTCAGAGTTAGGCAACCATCACCACATTCGGTTGACTTCCATTGCAGCAGTGGGGGGGATTGCACTCATTGTACTCAACACGTCTAGCCCAGGGGGAGTGTGAGAGGGGGCCTAGAGTTGGCTCATTCTCAAAGACCTGTCTTCTCCACAGCCTCTCACAGAATTTGTAGCTGCACTGAGTTTGATTCTAATGTTTAGAGATAGGAATTTCTGGTACCACATGGCCACAAAGTACAACTCAGTATTTCACTGGGGTTCAATTAAGAAATAGTGATTTCCCCCCTGCCTCCAAACTAAAGCAAAACCTGACCACATCGGACTTACTGATAGACAGTACACCAACCTCTGAAACGGTATTTTCCTAAGGGATTCTCAAGGACAATTTTGACTACGTGAAACTTTCACCTTACACACTGATATCAGAACCTAATCCTTGAGAAAGATACAGCTTCACTCTACACAGGGGCATGAAAGGAGCGTTTTATTTGGTCTGGGATTATCAGAGATGACCTCGGTTTTGCGAGCCCTGTCGGCCTGTGACTTAAAGTCAGACGTAGCAACATGGTCATCAGCAATGGGATCTCCTGAATTCTTTTCATAGTGAATCTCAGTTAAAAAACAAAACCTGGCGCCTGCATGATTACACACAACTGTCCTTCATTATCCAAATATTGGTTCCTTAGTTAGGATAAAGTATTTGAATGGCGAGGAATACAAACTTATCCAAACCTATTTGGCCCCCGAGTTCCCAAGAGCAAGTAGTCCGAGTTTGGATAGCAAAAAATTCACCCTAAAATTTAGCTGAATTGATTTGACTCTTGTGTTCAGAAAGCAAGAGTTTGGGTAGTGAAGATAGGTATATACTTATTTTAAATTACATTTGTGTACTTCTCTACTAATATATTAAGGACATTATAAAAATCACACAAAAAGAGTCTTCTTTTTAATAGAAGAAATAAAAACAAATGCAAAAAGAAGTTCTAATCATCGTGTGTGTCTCCACTTTGGAGATCACTCCAACAGGGCAAGAACCAGGAGAGTCCTCTGGTCACCATGACGCACGCCCGTAAAACAGCCGGATCTCTTCACTGATTTTCAGCGTAATTCTCTGCTCTCATATATATTCACAGCTATTAGCATGCCTCATGCTTGGGATGACTGCCTTTTCTTCATGTAGTCTCATTTTATCACTTTACAAGTTTTGATGGTATTAGCAAATTTGTAATAGCTTCTCCCTTTCACAGAAGATCAAACATTAGCGTTAAATGGGCAGTTTCTGATTTCTCCTTAAAATAGAATCCTAATTGTGTTTAAACTACCTTCTCCCTGGGTGGTTTCTCAATAATAATTGCCGAAATGCTGAAAGGTTTTTGTCCTTCGAGAAATAACAATCTAAATCTGGCCCTTTTGTGCCTCCTATTGAATTCCAGGTGAGCGTCTGGCTGGCCTTTGCTGACCCCGAGAGAGGCAAGTGGGCCTTCACTCATGAACCACATTTGCCAATGTATTTGAGACTTTCAATTCAGCTTAATCAATATTTCTGAAACCTTACCATGCACAAAATTCGGTAGTCTCTTTGAGCCAGATGTTCCAGTTTACGTTAGTGTTGAATTAGTGACGCAGGCATTATTTATGTGGAAAATGGCTAATATATAAGAACCAGGTCTTCTGATAACGTTCAGATTTTTCACGTCACCTTCATACCAAGTTGCCAATGAAAGGAAAAATAGCTTGTCTATTATAATGGTCTTCAATGTCTCTCAGTGGCACAAGGTCTTTTGTCGGAGATTTTATGTGAACCGTCATGTGTGAAAGAGAGGAGAATGTTCTGATTAATGTAGAGCCAGGAGCCCTGGGTCCCACCTACTTGGCCTTCTTTCCCCCCAGCTCCTGATTCTCTTCTTTGTAGAACACAAGAAAAGAGAAGGAGGTAGGGGGAGATTGAAGCATGTAGACTAAAACCTCTGCTCTGCAAGAAATGACATGAATGTGTGACTTTGAGAAGGGGACTCAACCCCTCTTTGCCTCTGTTTGCTTGTTTTAGAGACAGAACCACTAATATTTATTTCCTGGAATGATCATGAGTCTCACAGGAAAAGTTTGTCTCCTTGTCTTACTTCAATCACTCTGCTCCAAGCAGGCTCAGGTTTCCCAAGCAAGAATAAAAAGGCAGCCATTACCATTGCTCTCAACCCAAGCCCAGGCACACAGGTGAGAAGGAATTTCTGCCTGAGGCTCCTTCTAGGCAGCAACACCGATGGGTAGAAAAACGGACTGAAAACTTGGATGTGCAGCCATAAGATTTATGATCCATACTGACTTCTTCCTGTCAGTGAGAGAAACCACAGATGTTCTCCATAAGGTCTTAGTGACTAGTCCCACTTTCTCCTAAATGTATTAATAGCGTACTTTGCTTCTAATCAGTAAATTTTATGTCTTTCCCTCCTCCCATAACGGAGTCTTTCTCCAGATTCTCCTTCTGATCAGTACTGCCCCCACTCGAGAAAAACAACAGGGAATAGGCTCTGAAATTGTCACGAGCTGTTCACATGTTAGTTACTATTGTTGTTCTTTTATACAAGTTTGCAGAAATTCTACATACCATACCTTCTGACATGACAAGCCAAAGGCCTTCATCATTGGCTTCGACCAGCTTTGCTTTTCCTTTGTCTTCTTTCAAACATCGCTGACCTACACCTCACCCATTCCTCTATAGCCCCTGAAGCCCCTGAAACCTAAATCCAAGACAGATCTGTAACTGGTGCCTCTGCAAGGAGAATTTGGCTTTCGTTGCTCTGTCCCTTTTTTCCCCCCTACCAGCTAGTTTTGTTTTCCCCAGAGTAGAGCCAAAATTCCACACCGGATAGGCTGCTGCTCGGGATTCATTTCATTAATAGGCCATCCACGACTAGGAATCCTCAATTACCACAGTCCTTCCCAATCAGGAGGGTAGTGAGCATACTAGGTCTGGATTCATTTCCTGCCCCCTCCCTCCTCTCTACCCGCCCTGGTGGGTTTCAGAATCTGCATTGTTTTGAGAAGGGGCTGAGGGTCAAGGTCCTGGCTGGGATGATTTCTAGGGGCAGCCAAGGGAAAGTAGAACCTGTGAACAGGGAGTATAATAAGCAGCTGGTGCTTAAAACCTTATTTGGACCTGGGGGACCTCGGGCTACAACAGCTGGGAGGAGATACAACTGGGACGTGTGAGTAAAAAGAGGCAAATGTGGCAGGCAGCTCATGGCTCAGGCTGACACTTCAACCCAGACAATGTCAGAAGCCTTTGCCAATCGCCCCACCCTTCTTTGGAAAGGGTGACTTATTGACTATGAAGAAATAAGATGGGAATAATGGAGGCTGTTTCCATGCAGAGACACCATGAGACGGGGTACTCTTTGAGGAAGTAAGTCTCATCAACAATGGCTTCCCTAAGTGCGTCCAAAGTGTCTATCCATTAGGGCCAAAAGAGGAGCTTTGATTCTCCCTTGGAGGGGAGAGCAGTTTAATAAATCAGCTAGTGGATGGAGCACCTAAATTCAATAATTGTGAAGTGCCGATAAATCACAGCTGTCAATGCTGACTTAGACTTTATTCATTCAAAAGAGTTAAATTCAAACAGCAATACTCCTATCCAGCCTCCAGACACACGCAGCTCACAGCCCCCACCCACCGGGCTAAAATGTCTTCCCAGAGTCAGGCTTCATTCCTGGCCATCTGTGGGGAAGTGGGGAAGGAGGAAGGAGGTTGAATTACAGCCTGAGAGATGACCCATTCTAGTGACAGAGAGATCATGGAAGTTCAAAGTGAATAATTCATTGTGCTGTCAGCTGTGCGTTAGGTTTCATCCCAAGAGCTGCTGATGGAAAGGAAATCAGTCTCTGGCATCTTACTCGAGCTGCACAACTGGGCCTTCCAACACATTATTTGTGGTTGATTTGCTCACCAGCGACACGAGGGCGTGAACAATGGTAGGGGATTGTAGCTGGACGCTTTGTAGATTCGAGTTGAGCCAAGACTGGAGGATATTTCCATCTCCTCCCCCAGATTCTTTCCCATAAAGTCGGGGGTGGTTTCTACCCCCTCCATTCAACTCTAAGTAAGTTTCATGTAAAATGCAAGAAAGTGTAGCCCTTATATTTATAAACATGCCAACTTGCAAATGGTTGGATAGGTATTTGAATTATTGATTGTTAAATATTTAAGCTAAATTCCTCATCCATCAGTTCTCGTGAGAAGCCTGGGGACAGATTTACGATGCTGGAGTTTTTCTGGTTAGTTGGCAGTTGGCATCTCTATTAATTATGGCCCCCACGGTGGGGCTCTGTAGGGCTCACTGCAGCATGGAAGTCAGTGTCTCTAATACTCCTTTTAAAGAAAGTTTGTGCTGCAAGAGCTGCTGAAATGAAAAAGGAAAGGAACAGTCATGACCGGATCATCGCTGCCCCTGTTGGAGGTTGCCTAGAACAGTGCCTGATACAGAGAAGAAACTCAATAAATATTTGTTGAATTAATAAATGAGCACATTCTATGTTCTAGAAACTGTGCCCTTTGCCATTTAATCTCGTGACAACCCTATAAGGCAGGTATTACCATTTTTTTAGATCAGGCCACAGAGAATGAGGTTGAGTAATTTTCCCAGTGTCCCCCAGTGCTCAGTGCTCCCACTAAAGGCTACAGTGAGTGCTGAGATCTCTTCGAAGGTTTCTGAGCCCCATGGCTAAGGGGCTATCACATGTAGGAAGGCAAGCCCTGTCTCAAGGAGGCCCTCACTTATCCTCACAAGATGAAGAATTCTGAGGCTCCTTTCCCCTTGCCGTTTCACAGCTAAAGGCTCAAAATTCAGCAAGCTCCCCCAAACCAGCAGAAGAGAAGATAAGTGCCAGTTTGTCAAGCTCATGGAGACTCTGAGGATGGGACAAAGGTCGGGGCACAGGAAGGAAAGGGCCTTGAAGTCCTCAGGGAAAGAAAGTTTTCCTTCCTTCTCTAGGCTGTCTGTGGTCAAAATACCAACATTGTTCTCTCTTTCCTGAAGAGAAACACTCCGCTGTGGCAGAGAGGGATGAGGAGCTGCTTTGGGATGATGCCGTTTGCCAACGGGGTCCAGGAGGAGGAGCTGAGCAAGAACTATTATGTTTTCTGATAGATATGGGGATGGGTGTGTGTGTGTGTGTGTGTGTGTGTGTGTGTGATGTTTGGGTGTGGAAACCATGAAGACCAGAACTACCCCTTATTCACCATTGTATCCCTGTGCTGGGCACAGTGTCCAGCACAGAGCAGACCCGCAACAATTCTTTACTGAATAAATGGATTCTGGGTCTGCCCCCAACCAATTTAGTTAATATGAAGTAAGTGCTCTCTATGAGCCAGGCACAGTGCCACTCTACCTGTGTGATATGAGCAACCCCATCACACAAATGAGGAAACTGAGGCTTCAGAACTGTAAGTAATACTCCAATGGTTATGTGGCGAGTATGTGGTGGATAGTAGGGTCCTGAGTTCAAATCTTGACTCTCAGACTCCAGCCAGTGCTCTTTGCAACAACTCTACGGTTACCTCCTGGTGCTCTAGCTACTTCTAATCCAGGATTTCTCAACCCCAGCACCACGGACATTTGGGGCCAGATAATTCTTTACTGTGGAAAATTGTTCTGTACACTGTATTTAGTGACATTCCTGACTACTAGCACCACTGGACCCTCCCCACACAAAATGCTTCCAGACATCGTGAAGTGTCTCCTGGTGGCAGAGGGAGGCAATATTTCCTCATGTGAGAACCACTGGAACCTCTCTGACTCTTCCCCACCCCATCCGTGACAAAGAATGGAGAAGTCAATCCGTTGGGACATCAAGCCTTATATATCCAGTTGTTTTCTGGATGTTTCCATCGAATGTCCCTAGAATTGAGCTCATCATCCTCTCCTGACTCACATGATGGACGAGCCTCCCAGCTGGTATAAAATTTGAAGGCAGAGTTCCATTCTGGAAACAGCATGCTGATATGGGGGTAGAGAATAGAAATCAGATGAGATTGAGCACGTTCAGGGTGATATGGCCATAGAGGAGAACAGAAATCAAAAGAAAAAATTAGCCAAAGGTTCTGGTGGTGAAGGTGCTTATCCTTTCTGTTCTTCTGTGGATAGAAAAGTTTTCTGGGGCCTTCTTGAATTACTTCCTTCCATTTATTATTTGCTATAAAAAAAATGAAGTGATGTAGTTTCTATTTATTAAAAAAATAACAACACCCCCCCAAATCTTCCTCTCCTCCACCTGCAATATCCAATCCGCCCCAAGTTCTGCCTATATCATCTCTTGCATAGCTCTTAAATGTGTCCATTTCTCTCCGACTCTGCTGACACCCAACATCATTTCTTACCAAGCCTCCTCCTAATGGGCCTCCCTGAGTCCAGAGTCTACAGATTTCCCTGTAGCTCTAAATCTATTCTCCATAGCACAGCCAAAAGGTGTTCCTTCTAAAATATAGATCTAACCGTGCCCTTGTGCAGTTAGCACTGTCCTGTGACACCCAGTCTCACCCAAGGTGAGTGTGAGTTTCCCTTCATGGTTTGTAAGGCCCTTGATGATCTCCCCCTCCAAGCCCATCCCTTCCCCTTTGGTCCTCTGAACTCCATGCTCTGGCCACATGGAACTCTTCCCAATATTCCTGGCTTCCTACAGCCTAAAGGAGCAGAAAATGGGGCAGGATGTGCTCTTTTCTTTTCTATCCCTACCTCCTTTCTTGGGGCCCAGTGCATGTTCACCCCTTTCTCCATGCCTGGTTCTTATCGAAGGTAGGATAACGGAAGGTAGCAATTCAAGTAAAGATTAAGAAAGGACAGACTCTTTCAGCATAACAAAGCACAGGACATATTTAGCATGAGGGGCTCAGCTGCACAGTAAGGTGAGGTGAGGGGCTCAGGAAAGATAAGGAGAGGGGGTCCAGGTTGCAATAATAAACAAGGTGGTCAGGGTAGGTCTCACTGAGAAGGTCTAATCTGAACAGAGTTGTAGAAGGTGAGAGAGGGCACCACCGAGCAAATATCTGGGAAAAGCCTTCCAGAGAGAAAGAAGGAGCTGAGCAAATGGCCCACTGTGTGATTGCACTGGGCTGTGTGAGCCATAGCGGAGGCTAACAGAGCGCCTAAGGAGGGTATAGCGGAAGATGAGAGGTAGGGAGCGACTGTATCTGCTACGCCTAGCACACAGCTAGGTAAATACTTGTCAGGTGAACTTACCCTCTTACCCGTTATAGCTATAGACACACATCTTCAAGCAAACTTTCTCTCCCAGTGAATGAACAGGTGTATGTTAACTGTGATTCAGGGCAAGCCCC